GGGGTTTATGCTTCAGCATATATAAACCAGCATTTTCTGAAGGTGGTCTCATTTTTAATGAAAGTCTTGTTGAATGTGTCACTAAGTTCAGTAATAAAAACATTATAGGAATAGCATATTTGCTGTAACGTATTAAAGTGTAGCAACCTCCTATGAGCAGATGCCAGGGAACATTGACTTTTTTCCTGAATAGGAAAAACAGCAGTCAAAAGCTCTCTTTAAGTATCAATATCAGCCTGCTTTATCATTATGAGGAGGTGTACCATAAAAAGGTTGACCTTCACCATGCTGATCACATGAAGGATAAATAAAAGTTTGTCCATTGAAAAAGAACACAGTCTCCTTGGAAGTTCTCATTTTTTGGTTTCTTATCCTGGACGTCTTTGGAAAATAGAGGATCACAACCTGAGTTTATCTGTGTACATCTGCACATTAACCAATCTGGGCATAAACCGCTGAGCCAGAAGCATAATATTCCAATTCTGTCACTCAGTCTTCTCAGATTTTAGTGTTGTTTGTACTTGTCTACTTTGTGCTTTTTTGTTGCACATATTTGTTTATTCACCAGGAAACTACATAGTAAAAGCAGGATTTTAAAATCAGAGTATTCCCAGCCCATCAGGAAGGATGTGGAGCAGTTCAGGAAAGAGATCTGTGCAAGTGCCTGATACTGCTGAAGAAGTATCAGGTGATACCTGACAGTGGTTGTGCATTTCTTCAGCATGGGGTAGCTGGATGAGAGTCTCCAGAGAGCGCAGCTAGGTGGCAACAGGAAAGTGATCAGGAACCTCCTTTCACATTTTGAAGAGCAGATGACTCAAGCGTGATCATAAGCAGCTGTGGGACAGTGGTCCTGAGCCTGGTAGTACAGACTAGTTGGGTTCTGAGTTGAATACACCTTTTGGGTGTGAGTCTTGGTCAGCTCTGCTCTCCATCAAAGCATGACTTTCCACATTATGCTGCCAAAGCCATATTCTAAAGTTCTGACTGCCATTTCTTTCAGTTTCTTGCCAGTTAGATCCACTCCTTAGTGTGAATCACATCGAGAAGCAGTAATAAGAACATAGGGAATGCATCCCAGACATCAGCGAAGCAGTTGCCTGTACAGAATCAAATATCAAACTACAGCTGCACAGGGAAGAATGTAAGTGCTTGTGGTGGTCTGTAATGTTCTTTAAAATGGTCTGTCTCGCAGAAATGCTCACCTTTCACAAACCATCGTTCAAACAACATCCACTTTTCAAACAAAAACCCAAAACCCATCAAAACCCAAGCAAATTTCTTGCAATACAATAATCTGTATCTTGTTGATCATTCTATGAAGAAAGGAGCAAGATCAGCCCCAGCTTTCTGCCTATACAGTAGAGCTATTGACAACAAGATCAGTTGGATGATAGTTCTTTTTTTGAATTGCTGTATCATACTGGAAATGATTCATTAAACAGGAAAGAAGCAAAGGTATCTTGTGTCTGGTGTGTTTTCATTATGGTTTGATCTATGAGAGAGCTATGCACATGCTTATTGTTCCTTGTTCTAAGTAGTTCAGTCTGCTTCAGAAAAGGTGGCAGAGCAATGTGGAAATTTGTGCAGGACTCAAATTTCAAAATTTTCAGGCTCATTGTTTGCTACAAAAAAAACAAATCTCAATATTAGTGGCATTTATGGATATTCAGAAAAATTTATTACAAGCATTTGTTTTTGCTTTCTAATGTTGGTAGATTAAGACTGCAACACCTGTGACTGAAAACTAAATAGCCTCCGTGCAACACAAAAATCTTAGTAGAACACAAGTTTAAACATGAAGAGAAAATACTCCCTTCCGAAGTCCTTTGTTTGGATTTTTTTTTGTCTTACTAAGTCCTGCTTTCCTTCTTAGGGATTTGTTTGTTCTTCTAACTCCCTCTTCTTTGGTCTTTCCTTTCAGATGATGCCAATAAAGGGAAAAGGCAGGATTTCAAAACAAACAAACAAACTGGGGTCCATTGATTCTATTGCTGCTGCTTTCAATATTGGTTTACTCACCGCAGAGCCATTTCTTAACTTGCAGAGCTTTAATGAATTCCAAACAAAGGAAATGCAAACAAACAGCGAATGGAGGGGGCTGTACTTGGTACACCTTATTTACTCCTTTTATTGAAAGGAGAATTTAAGGCTGACCTGGAGGCATAGTTCTGCTCAATGCCAGATCTATTGCGGGTCCAGTACCAGGCCCTGATTGTTTATCCCTGACATTTGCCAGGGCCGAGAGTGCTGTGTGAGTGGCATGCTGAGTTGTTAAAAGTGCATGGCGGAGTGTCCCATGTCAATCACCAACAACCTTCCAGCTGATTGAGGAGCACCACTGACAAAAAAAAAATCCCACGGGAGCTCCATCTCATCACGTAACAAAGGGAAGCACAGGTCTCTGAAGTGGTATGACAAAAACAAAATCAGAAAATCCTCAGGGATCGTGAACAGAGTGGGAGGGAGGAGCCAATGCTACAGTCGTTTTGCATCTGGATGCAGTGTTGTTGAAAGACCCCACAAAAGTGCCCATGTGAATTAGTGAGCCAGCCTCAGCCCGAGTTCTCACTCTCCTTTTGTTTTTCTACGTCAGTAATTAGCAACATCTAATGCGCTCAGGTCTGCTGTAATTGAGAACTGGCGACGATTAAGGCAGCTCCTCTTATAACTGAGCAGCTTGATAGCTGTTGGTAGGAGCCAAACTTCCCAGAGAAACTGGGTGACAGAAGGACAGCATGAAGTAATTTGTATAAGCTGAAACTACTTTAGAGAATAAAAGATAAAAGGAATCTTATACCTCAGCTGTTCTTTCAACCTGTTGATCCAGAGAGGTAAAACAACATGGGATCTAGGTGTGAGGCTGAGATAGGAGAGTAATAAGGGTATAGTATTGAAAAGCATACTACTTATGCTCCTACATTAAGTTCTCTCTACTGCAAAATTCAGCAGCTAATAGTACGGGCACAGAAAAGCTGGAGCAGGTGGATGGGAATAATGCATAATGAAGTATTGATCAAAAAATATATTAATAAATAAACCCAGGTGGACTAACACAGGAGGTGATCAGACATATCACAGGGATTATCATACACACATACCTGAATTCCTTTTAGGTGCACCTCATAGCACTTTAGAAGAAAAAAATGCACTTGTTTATTTGTTTTTTAAAAGAGATATTTTATCGTGATATTTGGTGAGTCATTCCAGTGGACTGTTTATTCTGATTAGTAATGTCTTCTGCATCTACATATCAGATCATCTATGCCTTCGTCTGTTAAACTGCAGATTTGTATGTAGCAATGTTCATTTTCTATGTAGCTGTATGCAGAGTAAATCCAGAGATTCATCTTAACCAACATTAACCTAATGTCATCATCCAAAAGTTAGCTGTAGTCTAGTTCATCCCGTGCTATTACGTGGTTCATTTAGACTGCTTTGAAGCACTGCCTTTACTTTCATAAGCAAAATACTTCTTGAGGTCATTGAGTCTTTTACTAAGCAACTTTTCAAACTTTTCATCATTCTCTAGTATCTTCTTTGCTTTCTCCTGTTTGTTCACGTCAGTCCCAAATTGTGATCACTATAACTCAACACAGTGTTGATGTAGTGACCAGACCCATGCCATCAGAATGCATAGACTCTTCTAAATCCTGTATTTTTTTTGGCCCTAATACTTCTGTTCTATATTAGCTCTAAGAGAATCACTGCTTTCTCTCTGTGATTTCTATCACTGTGCTTTCGTTTTCCACATGCTTCAGATAAATTAAAAACAAAGCAAAGACTCATTTGAAATGCATGACTTGTCAGTAAACTGTAGCAAAGGTAAAAATCATTCTGCTTTCATTCAGGGTGGAATCCTATTTTGTGTTTAACCTTTCCTTTCCTTGATTCTTTTGGCACCAAGTTCTGTCAGACGCATGTTTTTTGGAGCTATTTAGGAATACTGTTTTGACAGAAAGGTCTCAGGATTTGGGACCAAAAAAGATGACAAGATCCAGCAAGCTCAAAGGAGCTGATATGTGGTTGTGTACTGTTGTAGACCAGGAGTGTATTGGGAGTGGATTTTCTTGCTGCTGGAATCAGCGCTTTTTAAAAAAAAACAAACCAAAACAATAACTGGATAGAATGGTTTGTGTAAGAGATCCAGGGAGTATGGCAGGGTTAATGGGTCTGACTGGATTCGGCTACATGAAATAGTGCTGCTGCTGTTGCATTTGTTTGCAATAGCATTTCCACTTTTTAAGATCTAGCAGCTATCTCACAGGTTCTGGAAACACAGTTAAGACTCTGTAAATGGGACTAAGCAAAATTCCATCCACATTCATTGTTTTCTATGCTCTGGTGCTTAGATGCATCAGCATTTATAAGATAAGTAGGACTTTTGACACTTGTTTACCATTAAGTGGGAGGATTGGGGAGTTTGGGGGCCAACACTAGCAAGATCCTAGTGCCACCTTTGTGTCTTTGTACCTCTGCCCTGGCTCAGGTTTTCCCTGGACCACAACATGTGAATTCATTATTAATTAGAAAAAAATTACCAAGTCCAGAACGCTTGATCTAGGACCGGGAGTTGTTTCTCCCTGCCGAGCACTGAATTGCTGTGAATTAAGACGAGCTGCATGTCTTGGTGCAGCTGAAGGTTTGAGTCACAAATCTGCCATAATCCAGCAATAAAACCTGACGGTTTTCCTGCCTTGGACAATAAAACAGCACAGCCCCAGCTAAGTGGAAGAACTGCCGAGGCAGTAAATGGAGGGGCTAGCTCTGTCTCAACCGCAGCAGCGTGAGGTCAGTCACTGCTGGGTTTCGAAAGAAAAATTGTCCTCTTCTATCCCACCCCCTTTTATCTCCAGAGCAGTGGGAAGGCAGCGGGTGTCAGGAGGAGGGAGGAGAGTGCTGGACGCTGCGCGGAGCAGAGGGAGGAGTAGGAGAGGGGAATGCATAATGCGTGAGTGACAGAGAGTGTGCAGGCGGCTGGCTGAGTCCAGAAGACGCGGATGTCCATGTCCCTGGGTCTAGGTAAGTTTCTTGTCTCTCTGTTTGAGGTGGTCGTTGCTTTGGAAGCATCCTGTGTCAGCCAGGGAGATGCTCGCTGTCCAGGTCGAGGGTTCCACCAAGCAGCACCTGTTGCAACAGGGAGAGAGTTTAACCGGCAGCAGACAGCGAACGCGTCGCTCACCCGTGAGTGGCTGCAGGATAGTAAGAGTCTCCTAAGGTTTCTGTTGTTCCAGCAGGTCCACTTTCTGCTCTGCAGAGCAGGGCAGGTGGAGACAATAGTCTTTCCAATGGAAAGCTCCTGTTCTCAGGGGCTCACATCAGGATGAAGCATCCTAGCTGGCAGTTTTTAACTCTCGAAAAACGCACAAAGCATTCATTTGACTGTTTAAGCTAGGTGGGAGTAAAAGAAGTGAAGGGGCTGCATACACGTTGTGTATTGCAAAGGGGAGTGAGTTAAAAGTAAAAATGAATTTTCAAGTAATCATCTGATACGGAATGAGTTTTAAACATGTTAATAATTAAAATATGACACGTAAGTGATTACAGTTAGAAATACTGCTTCTGCTTCTTGCTTTTGATATGCTGATTGTGCATAAGACATTGCATAATTCACTCTGGCTAGCCCAGATAAGGTTAAGATCAAATGTATAGGGAACTACTTGCAAAACATAAATCTTTGTTTTTAATGAGTCTCTAATTGCTTTATAGTGCAGACGTGAAATAACATGTGATTTTAAAACATCTTATTCATTATATAGCACCCAAAAGTGTTTTTTTCTGATAACACTTCACACACATCTTCCAGAATGAGTCTTTCAGTTAAATACTAGGCATTTTGAGAATCTGCAGTTTCATAACTGAAGGTAGAATGTGATATATTTAGTCTCTCTGTCACTTAAGCCTAAAACAAGCTTTCTCCTAGTGAATGTACTCACTGTTTCCATGTGGAAAGGAGAACCAGCTTCCTCAGGAAGTAAAATAATCTGTGGCACATCAGGCTTAGATTTGAAATAGCCAAATATTTGTAATGTAAAAGCTAATATATTTTAAGTGTGTACAATTTTTGATTCCTAGTTCGCTATTATTACTAATATTTATGTTGTTATTGATTTCTGATATACAGATCTGTGTGTTACAAGGTCTCTAATATGCTATTTTTTAATAGCTTTACATGAAGAAATCTATAGTATTTACTAAATTTGCATCTGAGTGAACTAATTAACATTGATAATAGGAGGACGTGCTTATTAGCTTGTAATTGTGATCTCTGTCCTGGTCACATAGAAATCAATGGGAAAAATTATATGTGCTTTTGTAAGAAGAAGTACTGAGCAGTTTATTTGTGCAGTCAGCAATTTTAAGACTGAAAAGTGATACTGGATGAGTTTTAAAGAGTTGATATTAGAGAATGAGATTGATCCTTACGCATTCAAACCTAGAGCACAATACTTCCCTTGGAAATTGTTGGGAGTCTTATTTGAATGAAATTTTCAGAATCAAGTCTAAATCATAACCTGTTATTAGAATTTCTAGTATACATGGAATTTTGTTATTTAAAGTTACCATCTTACAGGGTTTTTTGTAATTACTTTTGGAACTCCTTTAAAAAATAGGAGTGCTTAATTCTAAAAATGCTTACATGCATGTTTTACTTATTACATGATGATGATGACTGAAACTGAACTATTGGAAAAGCTATGAAAATATATATCTTTTGTGTATAGCACTAAAGAAGATTACTACTACAAAGGTCTTTAAGGATCTCTGCCATGAGGTGCAAACAATTTGTGTCAATTTGGGAGAAAAATATAGATGACTTACAAATCACCTTTGATATTGTTACAGAGCTACCATAGTTGTTCAGAATTACAACATGGTAACAATGAGGTGATTATTAATTATTATATTTTTCAAAGTATGTGGCAATGGTCTATAAGCTTGACAAGACTAAATTTAGAATATATCATCAAAAACTTGATGGATAAATATGTCATTGTGTCATACTTTGAAGAAAGGGAGAATTAAAATCTGTCTAAAATACATCAAAGTTTTTTTAGCCTACAGTATTTTTGAAATCATCAAAATATTAAACTGTATATCTGACTATTGCTATTATTCAGGATAGTGTAACTGATGCAATTTAGCTTAATTTTATTGCTGGATAACCCTGTTCTCTGATTTTTTTTCTTTCTTGGCCAGCCTCTTCTGGTGCATTCTTGGTGTTAGGTTGATCTCTAAGAAACGGAGAAATGTATGTAGGCAAGAGAAAATACAAAGAATATGTTGAAATTCTTTGGTCAGGGAGTATGAGACCTTGACCTCTTAAAGATATAATCACATGCATAGTTATTTTTACATGTGTAAACCTATTGATTGGTTTTACTCACTTGTAGAATTGTGCTTGCGTTTTCACTCTACAGGACTGGCCAGTGTAGTTATAGTCACTGTTGTATGTAATGGTGAATATCTCACTTTTCCCCACTAGAAGTAAGCATGCACAGTCTCTGGATGCTTCTTTCAGTGTGTATTAAGACTCAGATGCTGTGTAACATCTCCATCATAAAATCAATGGTTACTGGCAATTGTAGGCATTTGTCATAATTCCAGAAATTCAAGAATTGTGTCTACCTAAGAGCAGCTGTATTTCTGTTTCTTAGGGGAAAAGAAAAAAAAAAAGTTGTTCAAATTGCTTTTGCTGCAATAATTTGTAAGCCCAGAGCAAAGCTGCTGTTAAAATAAAGTTGTACTTATTTAAACAGGCTTATCTGACAGGCTAAATTTCTCTGGCAAAATTAAACAACAGAGAGGATGCTTTCCACGTTCATTGCAGCTTTTGTGCTTGTGGATTTTTCAGCAAACTGAAGACAGAATTTCCTCTAGAATGGTACCACAATATCTTTTTATATACCAAGAGGGGTTTTCTGATTATTTCATTTTGTATCTAGCATAGATTTATTAGTTAGATTACAGTTTTGATTCTCATTTTCGAGGGCAAAAGAAACTTCCTTCTCCTGAGTCACTTATCCTGGACTGGTCCAATATCTTACTGTTCTGAATTGTTTCAAGCTTTGCTTCATTAAGGATTTAACATGGCCTTAATTCAGCCATCTGTTATGGGTTTGGCAGACCAACAGATCTGAGGTATTGCTCAGAGCTTTAGAAATTTCCCACATTTTTAAAGGTTAGGAAAAGAGCTACCTTTACGAATAGATTTTGAATAATTCTCAGCAAGATAATAGCGCAGAAGTGGGGTAAAAAATGCGTGTCATTCTCTGAAGCACAGGGTCCCCTGTCTGCCTTTAGCTCTGCTGAAAAGCAATTAGCATTTCAACCAGCCAATTTGGTTACATGCAATGAAGTACTTGGGTTTGTAATTTGCTGCTCTCGGCTTGGTGCTGTTGAGAACTGGCTCTGTGTAATCCTCTCAAAGCACCTTTCTTTCCAGCATAGTTATTGTTGCTGGTCTTAAATAACTAATCAACAAAGAGATTTCCTTGTCTTGAGCTACAGGGTGCCTTAGAAGAACGAAAAGAAATACCCAGTTAATAAGGGAATGATTATAATTATTAAATAGTGATTATTAAATTGTGACATAGGTTAAAAGGTTTAGAAAGCCAGGGAAAGCGCAGTGAGTGATAAAGGTAGCGAGTAGTCTTTGAACCCAAGTGAATTCTCTAGGGGAGTTCTCTTCGCCACATAAATTCCTTATCATGTATTTTATTTAAAAACGGGTTTCCCAGATTTAAGAGATTAATTCACAGTATAGATTAGCGTGAGAGCCCCATGCTAATCACATTCTCGAGAACGACACAAATATGTTTTTACTTCAGAAATAAGTCTCTGGCAGGACTTCATAAAATACAGATCTGTAATAAAAGCAACAGTCCCTGCTTCAATCTAGTAAAAAAATAATACATTTAGCTAGAAACAAAGCTTGTTTAGATATACATCTTAAATTTAGTATATATAGTTGATACACATTTTCAGGTTTCATAATAAACTTTTATAAACTCGAGAATAACTCCCTGGCACAATTATTCTGATAATTAGGCAACATGTTAAAATTATGTTTGGCTCATACATGAGTATTACCTTGTAAGAAACCATTGTGGATAGCAGTAATTCTTCTGGTAGTATACCTAACGTAATGCCATCTAATTCTCACCATGAGGATGTAATTTGCAGTTCTGTATTTCACAGATTATTTTTCTTGCAAGATTATCGTGTGTGAAGCACTTTTGCAAAACAGGTTATTACACTTTTGGTTTTGAGAAAAATAAGCAATAGAATGCAGATGCCCAGAACTACTTCTTGTGCTCCATGATATTCAATCAGGTGGTATTACCATTCATTCAGGGTAAATTCCAGGTACTTGATGCTACGGTGGTTTTACCTCAGCTCCCATTTACTAGAAGTATGTTAAATAAAACTGTTTAGGACTTGGGAGAAACCTCCAAAGCAGAGATACAATTGGAAGTTATTGTGAAACTTCACATCTTCACTGAAGTAGAATAAATGGATGTTCCTCACTGAAGCCTGCAGACCTCCCTCAGCAGGATTTCTGATTCTGTAAGTGTAAGAGTCAGATCCTGTGGCAGGCTCAGTTGAGTAGTTACCTCTACAGTAAGCATGAGCTGGGAGTACTAAGCATCTTCATGGCTGAGTTGCTTGGTTTTGGTTTTGTTTGTTGGTTTTGTTGGTTTAGATTTATATTTTTTTAAATTTCCTGGCTTTTTTTTTTGTGCAAGAAAGTTTGAGAGATAGTATGAGTGCTTATAGTGTCTCAAGCCCTACTTGGAGCAAAAATGCCTAGGTAAAAAGCTAGACCTTGGTTATGGAAAATCCTGTAAAATACTTTTTATTAGTGAAAGATGTCTGCTGTTTTCATTAAATCTGTGTAGGTGCTAAAGGATTTCCAGTGTGGAGCTGAAAACTGAATTTACCTTTTGTTTAAACCTATACTATATGCTAAGTGGAACTATTCCAAAATAATATTTTGGAGTTTTACAGTGTATGGTTAGAACTATGTATGGATAGATTCTCATCAGTGGAGTGATAAATGAGAAATTCTGCAGCTGAAATCAGTCATTTTTTGTTGGTACACATTAAAGTAAATTCCTACTCCAATATTTCTTAATGTTCTTAATTAGCAGGTTTCAGCCAAGGTTTGTTTACATTAGACGCTGATGTCTGTTCTAAAT